TGCATAAACCCAGAAAACTTCTAAGTTCATGTTTGTCGCGAGGTTTAGGCCAATCCTTGATTGCAGCGATTTTCTTCTGGTCGGTGTAAATTCCGTCTGCTGAGACTACATGACCCAAGAATTCCACTTGTCGCTGGAATAAACTACACTTCTTCGGGTTCAAGTACAGGTGAGCATTCCGTATGCGGCCGAAGACATCTTCTAAATTTCGCAAATGCTCTTCAAAAGTTCTTCCCATAACCAATACATCGTCGAGGTAAACCAAGCACGTTTTCCAAGTTAATCCTCTTAACACCACCTCCATGAGACGTTCGAAAGTGGCTGGAGCATTGCATAATCCAAACGGCATGACCTTGAATTGGTATAGTCCGTTTCCTGTAGAAAAAGCCGTCTTTTCTTTGTCTTCCTCGTCAGACCAACTTGCCAGTATCCACTCTTTAAGTCGAGTGGAGAACCAGCACGAACCTGCCAGTGTGGTTAACGTGTCGTCTATACGTGGCAGTGGGTAGCTGTCCTTCTTAGTGACGTCATTGAGCTTCCGATAGTCCACGCAGAATCGTGTACTACCATCTTTCTTCGTCACCAAAACACGGAGATGACCATGGACTCGATGATTCTTCGATAACTCCATCTTCTAGCATCTTGTCTACCATTGTCTCCATTTCTTGTTGTTTGGAAAGGGGCACCCTTCTAGGACGTTGTCGAATCGGCTGAGCATGACCAGTATTAATCCGGGCTTCACAAAATCCGTTCTTCCACTGTTATTTTTCTCAAAAATACCGCCATGCTTTCGCAGGAACTGCTTAGCCTTCTGTTTCTCCTCATATGTTAGGTGATCCCATGGCTGTTCTAGATGTTTTAGTGTTTCTTTGGATGCCATTTGTGTAACAGCTGACGACACTTCATCACATCGGGTGACACTTCTTACAGGTTCGCAGATGGCTATCTTGTCACCTTTTTGAATCTTGACACAATTCGGGAAAACATTCGCAATTCTGATCGGTATATTCTTGTCGGTGTTCACCAATGACTTTCCTACTAAGTACCTATCTTGTTTCTTGTCGCCACTTTTTACCAGTCCAACACAGCACCCAGCGATTTTCTCCACTTTACCGAATACGATCTTCTCGGTATTACCAGGTATCACCACAGTTTCCGCTGATCTTACATCCATTCTGCCTGGTCCCTCGTCTGGAGATAACATGAACTCTTCATATCCAATATTTAAGATATTTCTCTGGTGATCGAACGAAAATCCATGTTGACGAATCATATCCATGCCCAAGATGAAGTCATCTTCAATATCTGCCACTAAGACGCTATGCTGAAACTTCAAATTTCCTAACTTCAGTTCGACGATAGCCTTTCCCCGTGCAACGGCCATTTCCCCCGTAACTGTACGTAAACACACTCTTCTTCCCAGAGACATCAGCTTCAATCCTTGCACTGAGTTAGCCCGCACCAACGATACCATAGCGCCAGTATCCACAGTCATTCGAATTCCCTTTCCATTACTTTCCCGTCGATCACCAAACTGTCAGCGGTTCTTCCTAGACTTCTAATGGAAAAAATCCTGGGGGCTCTGTTCTCCCCAGTCAATACTCGCCCCTTAGTATTGACTGATTTTAGTTTTCCTGGTGCCTACGTTCTCTGGATGGTGAACGGGATCGCATTTGAACGCGGCAATCCCGTTTGATGTGGCCATTCCTGCCACATCTATAGCACCTTATGTCCTGGGATCTTCTCTGGTTCTCTGTCTGGTTATTGTTGACTCCCTTGTTTATTAGTAGCTCACATAGTTTGTCGAATTTTCTACACATCTCCTCCAAACTTCTGTGGGTACTCTCGGGCTGTTCCTCTACCGTTACCGATCTTATCTTCGGTCTAGGGATGGCGCTAAAAGCAGCTTCGATTTCCAGCGCCCTGACCAGTGCTTCGCTGCTGGTAGAAAATCGGGATATTTGCAGCGCCCTCTGTAATTCGTTGTCCCTCAGTCCGCTGATAAAGCACTGAGCAGCGAGTTCCTCCCTAAATCCTTCCGGTGCTTCAGGATAAGTCTGCTTCAAATTCCTGCAGACTCTCTCCGGACCTCTGCAGGCGTGTCTTGATCTGGGCCTGGTAAAGTTGGCGTCGATGTTGGTCGCCATATCTTCTGTCCAGTGCAGCGACCAAAGTTTGGTATTCCTGCTGTTGGGCTGCAGGAATAGTTTGCAACAGTTCCAGGGCAGGGCCACGCAGCGCGATGACAAGTGCCGCTGCTTTCTCGTGGTCGGTCCATCCGTTGGCAGCAGCCGCTGCTTCAAACTGGCGGTGGTACATCGTCCATGTCGTTTGTCCATCGTAGGTCGGGGCCTTAAGGTTCGCAGTTCCCGGAACACCAGGTGTTCTTACTTGTGCCTTGGTCTTCTGTAGGTCCATCTCCAACCTTTCTATCTTCTGCTGAAGGCGCTCCTCCAGATCTTCTACGGCTTCTTGGAAGTGATTCTGCTGTTCCTGGCAACGTACTTCCAACATTGCTTGTTGCTGTTCCCCCAAGCTTTTCTGAAGTCGAATTTCTTGATTTTCTAAAGTTTTCTTAAGACGGTCCTGATCTTCTTGTCTTTCTTTCTGGCGGCGCGTTTCTATATCTTCTAAAATTTCCCTCCATTCACTTTTCTGACGAATTTCTAAATTGCCTAAAATTTTCTCAAGCCGTCCTGTTCTTCTTGTTGTCGTTGAATTTTCAAATCTTCAAAAATTTTCTCAAGCCGGTCCTGTTCTTCTTGACGGCGTAATTTTTCTTCGTCTTTTTCTTCTGCTTTCTCTCTTCTCATATTCTCCATAAAATCGCCCAATAATTTGCTTACTTCTTCCATTTTCTTCGCTTGCTCCCTTGTACCAACCATAAAAATACTCTTATTCGGTCTAAAAATCTTCCAATCCACCTAATTTCTTCTTAAAATCCTCTTGAATCGCACTTCCGACACCAATTGTTACGGATCCCGTGGGTCCACTATTTAAACTCACGATAAAATACTTAACGAATTTATTTGTTTCACTCTGTACACACAACTTATACTATTTACAACACAATTTATGCAACTAGTATTACTCTAACGGTATTTCGCGATATTATTCAAACTACAGACTATCTTCAGACTTGTCCAACTGTCAAAGCGCGGGCCTTATATACCCCCTGGCGATGGTTTCTGGAATTTTCTAAAGAATTCTGTAATTTTCTTTTACTTTCTGTCGAATTCGCCAGGTTCCTCAATGCACGTTGCGGTTATGCAACCAGTAATACACCTTGACCTTAACAATATTATAATGGAATTAGGGACAAGTTTTAAAATAGCCAAAATTTGTTTTTTTTCGAAATATCTAGTAAGCGATAAACTTTTTCAAAAATCCGAAAGGCGCATATTTATGACCCCACAAAACTGTAATTCTTTCCCCACTAACCGACTCTCTATTTCCAGTAGTTTCCGAGATACCCATAGAGAACATCGTAGGAAACTCACCCTGTATAGTATTTTGAAACTAACTATTATTATTATTTGACTAGTTTAATTTGATTAATAAGACTAGATTAATTTAATTTCAAATACATTTGAGCAGATTTTTTTTCGTATATTCTGCTACCAGAAAACCAAGATTATATGATAACGCACTTTTCAACGAAGTTGGAGGAAGATATAGTGTATCTATCACAATACTTAATAGAACTACTACAATTACAAGAAAAACAAAAAGAAGAAATACCCAAATACCCCTCCAGCTACTACTCAACTACAAAATAAACGAATATAATCTCTTAAAAACACTACACAACTACTTATTCTTGTATTCTACAGTGAACAAATTATCAATTTAATTACTAATTTATCAAACAAAAACAAAAAATAACAAAATTATCCCTTCGCCTACTACTTAACTACAAATTAAACTATAAAAACACTACTAAACTATTTTTGGTAGACTACACTAACATGCTACACTAAACACTATAATTAAACTTAATAAATTAATCTAATTTTACACTACAACTGCAAAGAAAAAAGAAATAAGAACATTTTCTAAAACAAGAAGAAACAGAACTTCCATACGTGCGACCAGGATAATAGGTCAAGGGGACAAAGAATATAAAATACTTTAAAATGTGCATTCAGAAAGAAAAAATACCTCGAAAATTATCTAAACAAACATTTTTATTTCTTATCAGTGAGAAACATCGGCATCGTCGGCGTTGAAGAATTTGTCGGGTATTTACAATGGTCGAATTGTATAATTGCCAGCTTTTATAGCATATCTAATAGACAAAAAGTATCTGGTCGATTAGTAACCAATTGGCACAGTCCGAAAATTATCGATTTTTATTTTCTCTGTTTTTATTGGTAGCTTCAAAATTCAGAGTAACAAAAAATATATTTCTGTAGGGAAACCGGTCCTGTCATCTAGTAGTCTTAGTCCATAAACGTCTTAGGTTGATCTACTTTAAAAATATATATACAAGGGTATTAGCAAAATCGGGAGACTAATTTATTTAAAATTTCTTTACATTTTATAATTTGTCTAATACTAAAATCGATGCATCATCATTTTTAAATGCAAATATCTTGAAAACCATTCACCTTTTCGAGCTAAATTAAAAGCCCCTTTTTTACGTAAAAAAATTCTAGCTTTTTATGGCCTTAGTTGAAATTACTGTATCTACAAGGATAAAAGAAGTACCACCAGTAGTACTCTCTACCCTAATGGAAAATACCCAGTGCTGTTACATAAGAGTACCAAATTTCAAGAAAAACAACTTATTAATGTTCTCAAAAAGTAAACAAAATATATTATCTTTATTTAACTTTTCAAGGGCTGTAACTTCTTCGGGTGGCATTTTAGGGCATATCTTGATAGGAACATTTTGTTTTATTTTTATCTGGAGAATCACCCACTAAAGTTAAATACACAATTTTTTTGGCACCCTGTATACAAAAACACTGCGATGATATAATTTAACTATAACTCACGTTCTAAGCTCAACAATTCGTCTGTATCTGTTTCAGGATTAGTGGGATCCGCCTCATGGAGTAAATGAAGCAGTCTATCTATTTTATCTTCATTAACTTCTATATCCTGAGGTGGCTCTTTATCTAAAACTTTCACTTCATCCTTGAACTGAACCATTTTCTTGGTCTTGTCTATCACTACAAAATGATTAAAGACTGGAAATCAATATAATCTTATTATAAAAAAAACTTACAAAACTTTTCAGGTTCTACTGATAAATCAGCTGTTACAAAATTAGCAGGGAATAAACCTTCTCCCCTTTGGTTGCTACCTTTCCACCAATTTGGATCGGAATCATCAATAACAACAACTAAAATGTTAAAAATAATGTTCTTATAATACTTTAAAAAAATAAATTTCTATAAAAAACTATTTTTATACAGGATGTCCCAGACTGAGAGTGCATTAAAGTTTCTAGAGAACTACAATATCTAGATCCGATATTTTTGCACATCATTGTTTCACAACGAGATCTATTGATTAAAAATATTTTCAATATGGCGGCACTTTCGGATATACCGGAAGTTAACAGCAACTTTCTTATTTTAAATCGGAACCCCCCTTTTTTATTAGATACATACGGTAATCGCAAAACAATTTCCAATGCACGTGATCAACTTTAAGTAATAAACGATGGCAACAGCTCTGCCAGAATGTGAAGGATTTTTTGAGTTAATCTTAAATGAATTTTTAATTTAATAACTAATATTTTAGTAATTAATTGATTTATTTGTTTTATAGCTTATTTTACTTATTACATATTGGCAAAAACTAGTCCATTATGAAAGCGTTATTATGGGTTATTTATTTATTTATTGATATACATCTTACAACGCCATAAGTGGTAGTAACAAGTAAGGGGATGCTATATTAATAGTGCATTAGCACAGACTAATAATCACAGAATTTACTAAAAACTAATGTAGAAATAACTTTGAAAGTGGTATAATGTGCTTATCAATCAAACTTACATCTCTGACTGCAGTTAAGGGTAATAAAGGGCCTTTATTGGCACATTCTCTTTCAAGATAGTTTATCAGGGAAGCTAAAAGCTCCTTGCTTCGACTGTTTCAATGCTTCGGCATATTTTCAACACACAATTTTAAGAACTGTAATACAATAACTCGAAAATTTAGTTCTTAAAAGAACTGTTTGTGCTTAAAAGTACAATTAAAAAAAACTATGAAAATAGGCAAAAAAAACAAGAATTACTCACAAAGATTCAACAACACAATATTATACAAAATAATGACTGACATTAGGATAATTGTCAAATAATAAACGACAACGTTGCTGAACACGGCGCAATGTGACCAACATAGCGATAATAAAACTCGGTTTAAACTAATTTTTGCAGCTTTAATCTAAATAAAATATCTGTCACAATCATTTGCTCTATAAACTAAAATAAAGAGCTGCTTCGTATCTTAAATTATACAACAAATTTAAACATTTTTGCCAAATTTCCATTTAGTCAGGTGTAACGGATCAAGAATTGGGCATCATTCTAAACTTATATTTATTATATTTATTAATAATTAAACAATATAACAAGATTCTATTATTTGCATAGTAATTAATATTGCATATTGACGAGACCCAGTGTCGGGGGTTCATCGCTCTTTGCAAAATATGCAATAATCCTTTGTAAGCATTTCGTCAACACCGTATTACTTTTGCACTAATTTATGATTATTCACTCAATAGATGTATTAAACTACACTTGGTTTTACTGGCTATGATCCCATCCCTTTACATGGCGATCCTGCCAGCGAAATTTTTTAAAGCAAAGTTAAAACAAAGTTAGTGAGTTCAGTCAGTGCTTTCGTCAGTTTAAGTGGTAAATACACATATAATAAAATAATCTGGCGAAATGGGTAGCTCCAAATCGAAGTCAACAAAGCAGGACCTTACCGAAAGCGGAGTTATAACTCGAACTTCATAGTGCAAGAAGATGAATATAATGTGACAAAGGACGTTAAAGTTGTTATGTATCTCATAGTATTTTGTTTGGGTGCGATACTGGCTATTAAAATAACTCAGATGTGTAGAAGAAACATTAAGAAGCAAGTAGAGAGAAACCTTGCAGCTTCTAACCCCAACATTTTAGTGCCGCTAAGACGTGAAGCTTCGACTTCAAACCCGATAATATAATAATTTCTGATATTATTAAATCGGCGCGTGCCCCTCATACGGACAATTATTTATTGATAAAACTCAAATAGGTGGCCGCAATTCCTGAAAGAAACTATAAAGTGCGTGTTTATAAACTTAGTGCGGTTCATCGGTATGAAAATTCGTTCGCGCGTCGGGCACAATGCATATTGGGCAGCAGGCAAGAGACAATTAAAGAACCTCTACACCTACATATAAGTAATAATATGGTATAATATGGAAGTGAACAAAGCAGGACCTTACCGAAAGCGGAGTTATAACTCGAACTTTATAGTGCAAGAAGATGAATATAATGTGACAAAGGACGTTAAAGTTGTTATGTATCTCATAGTATTTTTTTTGGGTGCGATACTGGCTATTAAAATAACTCAGATGTGTAGAAGAAACATTAAGAAGCAAGTAGAGAGAAACCTTGCAGCTTCTAACCCCAACATTTTAGTGCCGCTAAGACGTGAAGCTTCGACTTCAAACCCGATAATATAATAATTTCTGATATTATTAAATCGGCGCGTGCCGATTGTTAATTTTAGCAATATTTGTAGTGTTTTATTCTAATTCTAGTATTTAGTATTGTTCTATCGCTTATGATTGTTTTTCTTTTAAATTTGATTATGACAAAGTATAGTAAAGAGCTTCTATGTCGGTAAATTGGGAAAAGCACCATGCCATTCTACTTCAGCAAAAAAGTAGTATTTTAAATCAAGCAAAAAGAGTAATAAAAAAAGCTGTACCTAAAAACGAAACGATAAGAAATGAAATAAGGGACAATTTAGTAGAGCTGTTCAACCAAACTGCAGGCTATATCAAGGGTATTTGGGATGAATTAGACATCGTTAAAAAACAAGAAACTAAAAATATATATTTAGTCATTAGAGATAAGGTAGTTAGGGCATTTCAAATATTAGGAGTTAAATATAGGTATAATTTTTATTGTTGTCGATCCAATAATATATAATGTATTCTTTTTTTATAAATTGGATTAGGATCGAAAGAAATCAACAGAAGTCCTTTGTTTTAAATTTGTCGACGTTTCGCAAAATTTATTTGCATTTTCAGGACACTACAAAGTTAAGAGAGCAAAAATACAATCAAATAAAAGCTTTTCCAAAAATTTAACAAACAACTTAAAATACATATCAGGTTAAATATAGGGTCCCGTTAGGTTTCATAGAAAAAATTGATACTCGGACGGTAGACAAGTCCTATATATCTTCAGACGACGAAGAGGAAACTGACGAAGAAGAAATTGATGAATCGGAAATTATCAAAACAGAAATCATGCCTTTGACAAATTTAGCAAGTAAGATAGTTCCCCAAGAGTTTGATGGTTCTCATGATAAATTACAATCATTTTTAGACGCACTTACGTTACTTAACGCTAACCACGCCAACAGTGCGATAGCTTTCGTCAAATGACCACGCCAACAGTGCGATAGCTTTCGTCAAAACGCGCCTTACAGGCAAAGCGAGAGATTTGATAACTACTGAGGAATCTCTTGCAGACATTATCAATACTTTACGTTTAAAAACTAAAGGCGATTCTTCGCAATTACTGACTACAAAATTAATAAATTTAAAGCAACATGGTAGAGATTCTACAAGCTATGTCTCAGAAATCGAATTACTCGCTGAGAGACTAAAAAGGTCATATATCTCCGAGGGAGTACCGGCAGAAGTCGCGAAACGTTATACCGTAGATCAAACCGTAAGATCGGTTGCTCTAAACGCGAATTCGGAAAGAGCTAATAGGCCAGTAAACGTAGCCGAGTATTATATGTAAAGGTGAAAAAAATTAGTAACCAACCAATCTCAACGGGAATGTGTAGATAATGATCTCCTATTTAACCCCTCAAAAGTCCCATTCGGTCCCAGTGGGGGAAGTTCGAAAAAAACTGCCGCCATCTTGGATTTTTTCGTTTTTTTAAATATCTCCGTTTGGATAACTTTTTTCGAAAAAACTAAAGATACGTTTTTTGTAGAGAATTAAATTTACAATATTTATTTATTTTTATTATTTTTGTATCATTTTCTCTATAAAATAAATAGTAATTGAGATAGAGCAATTTTTTACTATACGTTTTATAAATTTTCCAGGTTTTTTAAACCAATCAGCTATAATTTTTGCGTTAACAGTATAGTGTTAATATAGATAAACCAAATATAAATTTAAGCATTAAAACAATTAAAAATAACATTTAAATTTATTAAGTAAAATTATTGTTAAAAAAAATATTAAATTAAAGTTATTAAACAAAATCTGCTATGACGTCATTCTGAGCGTCATTTTCGTCCTCAACTAAAATACAGAAGTTTGTGTAACTGATTCCATAGCACTGACACTGAAGTAAGAACATTTAAGATCCACTTTTCTACAACAGCAATTTTTAGGGCACTGACTCTCTTAGCAATTGCAAAAAATTGATTTTAGTAGGTCAGGAGGCGCCACATCTTCTGTTCATTGAATAGGTGTTTTGGTTTGGATTGCCTTTATGATCTTTCTTCCATCCATATTGTAAAGGATCTATCTTATTACAAATCCAATTCTTAAATATAAAAAGTACAACTTATAACATTTCATATAATATATTTTATTACAGTTACCTGAAAGTATGTCCTGAGTAAATGGAGTTTTCCAGAGTTCTCAGTTGGAGGCAATTTAGCTAAATTAAAGGTCGTCTTAAGGGTTTGTCTTGATTTAATCCTATTGTATAGAGTGTATCTAATAATATAATAATGGATCCCGTATATAGCGTTTAACGCCTTGGGAGTAGCAAGGTACAGCTTGCCATGCTAGAGCCGTTCGGTATACAAGGAAGGTAATGTGGCTAGTACTACGCTGTAACCGCCTATTATTACCTCAGGATTGTGAATCCCAAGTACCCATTTAAGGCTGAGTCGACCTAGGTGCCCAAACTATTATTTTATTAAAAATAGTCGACTGATGAACTACCGGCTGCGGCTGTAGGATTCGAACCTTCTTCGAACCTTCGAACCACCTTTAGATTGGTAGACGAGAGCTGTACCTCTAAACCACCGGGTACCATCTCAGATAGATAATATGTTTAATATAGCTTGGGCAGTGATATAGCAAGATTAAATTATCTTTTAAAGTTTAAAGCTAAACAAACTGCCCAA